GCGAAGAACCACGAGCTCCTCCTTCGACATGCGATAAATGCATCCCTTAGGTGGCAGGGCGCCGGCCTCAAGTATGATCTCGTGAGAGATCGGCCAGTCCGGCACTATACCGGAGGGAGTCTCGAACATGTCCGAGAACTCGTCTAACAACCAGGTCACACGGGGGCCGGAAGACAAATCCGTGGATGATGAGTCGGTCGTAGGGACGGTTTGAAGAAACGCAATGCCAATCTCTTTGATGTGCTCGAAATGGCACGTGTCTCGAAAAGATTTGGCACTCACGACTTGGCACCGAATGCAGGAGCGAGGAGGAATAGTACACGGGACCTCGGCGCGAACGGTATCACGAATCGTGAGCATGCGTCGATGGAAGTTGACCGTGTGGTCCGCGCTAGAAAGCCAAGGCATCCCCAAAAGGACATCGAAGTCGGTGTCCAATACGTCGAAAGTGACGGGTTCACATGCGTGCGGTGCAAAAGACACCGGGACAGCCGAGATGCAACGGTCTAAGAGCTGTTACGTCTTACCGTCGGCAAGAGCGACCGTCGTCGGATGTGACTTCCTCCGTACTTGTGCCCCTAGGCCAGCCCGAGTCATGAAGGACTGGCTGATGAAGTTGCAAGTTGTGCCGCAATCCAGCAAAGCGTAGCAGTCCGCTTGCCCAATTTGAATGCGGACGTAGAGCAACGGTGCGTTGTTTTCTTCGTACCGTTGCGAGGCAAACTCACGGGCTACCTTGGCAACATAGCCAAGCATGTCCCCCACCGCGACTTCGTCTACCGTCGGCGAAGTTGGTGGTGCATGGAAGGAGAGATACTCGTGTAAGAGGGCGCATAGTGCTGCACTTTGCGGCCCCGGAAGGCTGCCCGTCGTAGGGAGAGGAACCCAAGCGAAATCCTCAGGCGTGAGCGGGTCCAAAACCTCCTTGTTGAACACGCTTGCCGAATCCCTTGATGAAGACGAACTGACGGAAGAACCTTCGGACGGTGAGAAAGCCGTACACGTATCTTGTCCTTGACAAGCGCCCAGCAAAGGACCGAGCCGAGCAGCGAAATCTTCGAATGAAAGTGGAAGACTCCCGACATCCGCATATGCCTCGGAAGAAAGGGCGGTCGTGCGCACAACCGCTTCCGATGGTGTCGAGGGAGGTGTCGAGTCACCCTCGGCGGCGCCTACTTTCCTAAACGGGGTTTCCCCTTGGTGGGGCAATGTGCAGCATTGTGGATGGTGCTGTTGCACCAAAGACAATAACGGTACTTGAGTCTCGTGCAGTAGCTGTTCGCCGAGAGTCCATATTGGAGCCAAGGTTCGTCGGCTGTTGATCCGGTGCCCGGTGAAGAGGTGGACTGAGTCTTCGTCTTGTCACGGCCGTGATTGTTGCGCGGCCGGCCACCATCCCAGGCAGCTGCCAACACGTCACCCTCGTTTGGTGTTGCAGCCTCGGTAGAAGAAGGTGGCTTGGGCTGGTTGCTGCTCGACGTCGCAGAAGATCGGTCGGCGTTGCGGGCCTCTACATTCGTGAGAATGATCCGTGACGCTGTGCTGAAAAGTTTGTCCGATGTGTCGAGTGTCTCTGCAATCTGCGTCAGTGCGTTTTGCAGGGCTGGACACGAGCGCATGATGAACAAGTGCTTGAAGCCGCAGAATGAGAGCGGCAGGTCGGGTGTGGAGGCGAGTCTTTGGAACTCGGTAATCCAGTCATGACTGAGGAGCGAGTTCTGATGGAGCTTGTTGAGCTTCTCCATTGCCTGCAGGTCGGGCGGCTCCACTTGGAATCGCTTGTGTCAGGCGTCAATCAGCTCCTGCCAAGTGAGCTTGGTGTGCAGTTCCGACACTGCGACGCCATGGCTGGTCAATATATTGTCCAGCCATGCTTGACATGCACCACCAGATCGGTGGTACAAACACGCATGTCGATCGTTGTTCAGGACATGGTGCATGTCGAGCCTGAGAGTGAACTGGCGCCACCACGGGATCGGGTCCATCTTGGACTGATCGTAGAAAACTGGAAGGTCATCCGGTTTGGGTGGGCGTCGGGAGGATGCGACCGCGGCTATGTTACCACACGTTCATTGAACGCGGGTTTCACGTTCAAGGTATGAACGCAGTGAACACGCGTTCACTAAACGCACGTGAACGCGTTTGATGCGTTCGTGCAGGGAGGTGGGCGGGGTGGGGTGGTGCTTTGGGCAGTGTGGGGAGCAGCAGCGGTGCTTGGGGGGGTTGTGGGCAGCGTGGGGAGCGGCGGCGGTGCTTGGGGGGGCTGTGGGCCAAAGCCCCAGGCGAAACAGGAAAAAAAAAAAAAAAAAACAGAACAGTGTGTGTGTGTACGTGTGTGTGTGCGTGTGTGTGTAAGGTCCCTTTTTTTTTCGAGGGGGTGGGGGAATCCCCCTAACACAGCTCAGATAGCCCATGCAGGCTATCTGAAGGGTCCGCGCAGACATGTAGCGCAGACCCCCCCACCAAAATCAAGGCAGGCAGTGAATATGAAATAGAGCACGAGCTGGCCCGATATATACTCAAGATTCGATTTCAGGTCTGTGTTTCAGCAGTTATGGGTTGCTCACGTAGCTAGGGCCTGTTGGTCACTGCACGTGAGTCTTAAGGCTTGGCTGCACTAGGGCTTGGCTGCACTACTCACCTGAGTGGCATTATGCCTATTTGTCCGGTAAATCAAAATCGCAACGGTGATCCGATGCGGTTTCATGTCCCCCTCAAGGAAATCATGCCCGATCTTCGATTGAGGGCACCTTTTATGAGTTATGGATACCAATGCAACAGCTTGTCAAAACGAAGCGCGAAAATCGACTTATATTTCATATAGTTGCTAATAAGTATCGCTCCAAAGGTGATGCTATTCATGTTGGAAACTCTTCTCTCTCTCTCTCTCTCTCTCTCTCTCTCTCTCTCTCTCTCTCTCTCTCTCTCTCTCTCTCTCTCTCTGTGTGTGTGTGTGTGTGTGCAGTCTCTCTCTTTCTCTCTTTCTCTCTCTCTTTCTCGCTCTCTATGTTTGTNCGATATATACTCAAGATTCGATTTCAGGTCTGTGTTTCAGCAGTTATGGGTTGCTCACGTAGCTAGGGCCTGTTGGTCACTGCACGTGAGTCTTAAGGCTTGGCTGCACTAGGGCTTGGCTGCACTACTCACCTGAGTGGCATTATGCCTATTTGTCCGGTAAATCAAAATC